CTATTGAACACTCACTAGATTTCAGCTTCATTATTACACTGGTGTGACAAGGTCAGACAGGACATTTACCGACTCGTGGAATCTCCTTGGCTTGTGATGACTTAGAGCCCAGTGTGGAAAACAGGCTAACAAGTGAAATGATGCAACTGAGAAATGCTAGGAAGTGTGTCATCTAGCTGGGCATGTAGCACTGTGAAAGAGCACTTGCCTAGCATACACAAGATCCGAGTTTAATTCCCAGCACTGCAAAAATAAGTAAATGTCTGTTTTAAAGCCACGCATGGTGGCACACACCTGTAATCCCAGCACCTGGGAGGTGAAGGCAGGAGAATAAGGTATTCAAGGTTATTGTCTGTTACATAGGGAACTGGAAGCCAACCTGGGCTACATGAGATGCTAGTTTAAAAAACATACAAAAAAAAAAAAAACTGACTAAAGAGTAGCATTTAGAGTACACATGATGGACCCCAGCTTTAGGTCCCAGACTTCACAATTCTCTTGGTCTAGAAGTCATAATAATAGACAAATGGTAACTAAAGTTTATGTGGTGCTTAGTGTGTGCCAGGCAGAGTTGGCGATGCTACAGACACAAAAATTCTCATAATAACTATTGTGAACATTACTTCTTGTGATAGAGACCCAGAGAGGTTAAGTAGGTTTCCCTAAGGTCACAGAGGCCATGAACAGCAGAGGGGGGGATTTAATTTGAGGCCTCTCGTCTACAGTATGTGCTCTTAGATATTGTTACTGAAAGTTTAAGCTAATTGTCCTAGAAATACAACTACCATTTATAACTTCTATAATAAAGTAAATTTTAAATGCCAAACTTCTGACTCAGGAAGAAATTTCTGAAACACATTGTGCTGGATAGCTTTGGTGTCAACTTGACACACCTGGGTTGAGGGAGCCTCAATCGGGAAATTGCCTCTATTGGACTGGCCTGTGGCCATGTCTGAAGGGCATCTTCTTGATGAGTGATGTGGGAGGGCCGAGCCCACTGTGGGTGGTGCCACCCCTGGGCAGGTGGGCCTGTGTTGCATAAGAAAGCAGGCTGAGCAGGGGCTAAGGGAGCAAGCCTGTAAGCAGCATTCCTCCATGGCCTGTGCTCTAGCTCCTGCCTCCAGGTTCCTGCCCTGAGTTCCTACCTTGGGCTCCCAGATGAACTGTGACCTGGGAGATGTAAGCTGAATAAACCCTTTCCTCCCCAAGTTGGTAGTGGTCAGAGTGTTTTGTCACAGCGATGAAGAACAAACTAAGACACACATGCTTTAAGTTTGGAAACTGCCTAGCACCTGCTTGGCCCATAAGAACAGTAAGCATTAGTGACAAACAGTTTACAGGATGCTGTAAATTCTGTGTAAAAGGCACTCAGTTATTAATTAGTACATAGGAAGTTCAGGGATCCTGGGGTTCAATTGTTCTAACATTTAGTCTTTATCTTGATAACAAAATGAATGATGTAAAGTTATTTTTAAAAAGCAAAGTCCATTTGTGAGAGCTTTCTATTATAATGAAGTTAGAAAGATGTGTGCTTGATACATTATCCTTGACCTCAACTCCTGCTTCTTTGGGAAAACTGCCAGATCTAACCAACAGGCTATGTGTCACGGTGTCTTTTCTCAGATGTGTCACAGATAGGCATGGAGAGAAAGAGTGGGGTTAAGGAGAAGGAAAAGAAAACTTCCATAGCCTGGCTATGGCTATATTACTAGTTGAAAGCAGTACATACTTTGAATATTGCATATTGATTTTTTTGTTCCCCCCAAAAGAACATGTAAATGGCATAGAGGCAGCCAACAATGTACATATACAATTTGAAGATCTTTTTCTACAAAAGAAGAAAATAAAAAGACAAAGCTGGCTATCTCAGGAAGGAACCATGCTTCCTCTCTTCTAAGAATTTCTTTCTTTTAGATCTCTTCTAGGTTTTCTTTAATCCCAAGGTTCTTACAAATAAAAATGTTAGAATCAGGCTAGGAATGTGGCTCAGTTGATAGAGTGCTTGCCTAGGATGTACCAAGGCCTGGGTTTGAGCCACAGCACCACTTAACCTGAGTGGTGATGCACTGAAATCTCAGCACTCGGGTGGGGGTTGCAGGGAGGAAGCAGGAAGATCAGAAGTTCAAGCCTCCATATTGAGTTCCAGGCCAGCCTGGGTTACAGGACACCTATCTCAAAAACCCCAAACAAAGGACAGAACAGCTTAGCTCCCTTGATCCAGGCAAGTCAGTGTGTATGCTTGATGAACTTTGTTCCTGTCCCAAACTCACATGTTGAAGTCCTCATCTCCAGTACCTCAGAAAGTTACATTAGTTGGGGGTAGATTCTTCAAAGAGGTAATGAAGCTACAATGGGGTGATCAGGTTAGCCCTAGACCAATATGAGTGGAATCCCTATAAGAAGAGGAGACTGGGGAACAGAAGGGATGTGTGGATGCAGGGCAAAGGCACCCACACACAAGCCATGGAGAGAGGACTGAGAAGCAGATAACCTACTGGCACTTAGAACTCAGACAATGAATTTTGGTTGTTTAAGCCACTCCATCTTTGAAATGTTGCTATGGTAGTCCTTGGGAACAAATGCTGGGGATTCCTACACTCCCAGAGCCTTGGAAGGCCAGATCATGAACTTGTTATATAATTATAAGGAACCTGTGGACTCATTAACTCATTCAGCTCATTAGATTGCCATTTAGCAGAGCCCTCATGTGAGTACAAAGACAGATAAGTCTTAAATAGCTCAAATTGAAAGAGGAGACTAGCACATAAAGGGTTATCATCAAGTGATATGTTCAATGGTGAGACTGTGGTACATATAAAGTGGATAGCCTCCAGGATCTATAGAGACTACATCAGGACAGAGGCTGTCAGACCAGAAGCAACCTCTTAGCCAGGTCTTTAGGTGAGGACAGAAGTAGGTAAGGAAAGAGACATTTAGGTGTTGGCAAATGACTTAGACAGAGGCGGGGAGATGGGAAAGTGGCCTGAAGGTCAGGGGATGAACAAGAAGTCCAGAGTTACTGGTGTTAGAATGTCCAAGAAGAGCAAGAGGAGAGACTAAAGAAGTAGGGTCAGACCAGAGAGGCCTTGCATGCCAAATTTGGAGTTTTAAACTAAAGCATGGGAAGTCACCAAAGATTTTTAGAAGAAAAGCATGATCAGATCATGCTTTAAGCATAGTCTCTCTCTTTATACTACAGAAGGCAGGAAAGACCATGGAAACTTTACCCGATGCAGGGCTACCCAAGTAGAGAAGGCAGCGTGCATTAGAAGTCTTTCAAATATGGAATCAAAGGGGTCTGGTGGGGCTGAAGTGATGGCTCAGCAGTTAAGAGCACTGGCTGCTCTTGCAGAGGACCTGGGTTTGAGTCCCAGCACCCACATGGTGGCTAACAACCATCTGTAACTCCAGTTTGAAGGGATCCAACGTCCTCTTCTGACTTCCGTAGGCATTGCACAACATGGGTGTACCTACCAACATGCAGGCAATATACTCATACACACAAAATAAAATTAATAAAATGTTTTTGAAAAGAGGGTCTGGTTACTCACTTATGGAAATAAATACTTCCCTATGAAGTAGCATGTGAAAGGGATTTCCAAATGTTCCTGTTTTCTCTGAATAAGAGGTCAAAATAAATCACAATGCTTCCTTAAACACAAGCTTAAAGTGGATGTACTAAATACACAATACTTGATGTTTTAGGAATTAAAAGGAGTCATTTCGGTGATTGTTTTATCTGGATTTTGAGAAGTTTCTCCACAAAATACAACATAATTGGATAAAGTTAAAAGTAAACAAGCAAATGGCTAGGTGTGGTGGTGTACATCTTTAATCCCAGCACTCAGGAGGCAGAGGTAGGTGGATCTCTGTGAGTTTAAAGCCAGCCTGGTCTACAGAGCAAGTTTCAGGTTAGTCAGGGCTACATAATAAGACCCTGTCTCAAAACAAAACAAACAAAACAAAAAAGTGAACGAATCTTATTTTATCTCATAACATGTTTGGTATTGCTGTTTCCTCCAATGTGGATTGCTGGAAAACTATCTGTCTGAGGCAACAGCAAGTCTTGGAGTATATGCTTCTGGGTCTGTCTGAGCTTTCCTAGTACCTACCTACCTACCTTGAGAAATCCATTCAGTCTCTCTAGGCTGCGGCATCCTCATCTGTAAGAGGCATACAGGCTGGTGTGAAACTCTGTGATAGAGGCACTGGGTTCTGTTCCTAGCTCCACTACAAAAACAAATAAAATGAAAAACAAGATAGCTAGGTTATTTGATCTCAAAGATGCCCACTAATTAAACTCTGCAACTTTTCCTTCCAGAAGATTGAGTGACCTTGAATTTTAAGTGCAGTGTTTTAAACCTTAAAAATAATTTAGGGAAGACCTGCATTCCATTCCCTTAAAAGCCTGATGTGGTGGCAGGAACTGGGGAGGCAGAGCTAGGTGGATTCCTGGGGCTCATTGGCCAGACAGCCTAGCCTAATCCAGAAGGCTCTGTTCCCAGTCCCAAAAGAACAAGGTGGATGACCCTGAGGAAGGTCAACAAATTTTCATTTTGCTGAAAAATATTTCTTGGAAAGTTCATAAATCTTGTTAGATGCTTTGGAGATTTATGAGAACTAACGCATCTTGCACGTTTTGAGCTTGACAGCTATGAGGTAAAGAGAACTGCATTTACACACCCCTGCAGCCTCGGGGGAGCCTGAGAACAGAGAACAAGCCGAGCTTTGGAAACCTGGAGAGCTCCATGTGGGTAAAAACGATTGCCAGAACACTGACCCAGTCTGCTGATTCCCTTTCTTCTTCCCTAAGACACTCGGGTCTGTAGATGTAAAAGTGGGAGGCAAGTTTCTCCTATCTCTAGGCTCCCCACCTGCTGGTCTGTCTGCTTCCTGCGCCTCTGGCCTCTGCCTGGGAATTGATTCTCCCGCCTCCCCTCCCTCCTCCCCTTCCTCCTCCCCTCCCTCTCCTCCTCTGAAGCCTCGCCGTCTCGCAGCGATGCTGTCGGGCGGGCAGAGCGCGCGGAGCCGGCAACGCGGCGAGTGTCGGGAGCTCTGCTGCTGGCCTCGCGCTTTGCCCCCGGGGCTGGCCGCCTGGCGGTCGGGCTGCTGACCGCCCGCGGTGCCGCGATGTCCACCAAGGTCAGGAAGAGCCGCGAACCGGCGAGGGTGACCTTGCCGGCGCCGGAGGACGAGGACCGCGAGGCCGAGGGCGCCGAATCGCATCGCCGCGGCCGGGGCTGGAGAGGAGTCAACGGCGGGCTGGAACCTCCCGGGCAGCGCGCGCCGCAGTCCCCGGGGCCCGACGCGTGAGTACCCGAGCGTCTGCGCGGGGAGGGCCGGACCCAGAACGGAACCCGCGCAGCGTCGCGCCTCCGGGTTGTCGCGGGCTCCGCGCCCGGACCGCCTGCGCTCGCCCCGCCCGGCTCCGGTACGCGCCGGGCAGCGGACTGCCACCGACGGCGGGAGAATGGAGGAGGGCCTGGAACTGGGTCTGCAACACCGCTCCGGCCTCGGTGCAGACGGCCAGGGCTTTGGCGCGTGCGGTGCTCGCCCTGTGGCTGCAAGTTTCCCCGACGGGGCTTGGCATCCCTGGAGGGCGGCCGCTGAGTCCCAGGGACTCCTTGGAGCTTCTCTTAAGCGCATCTTGGGCGGCAGCCTACAGGCAGCGCCCTCCCTTCCCCTCCCCTCCTTGCTCAGCCCTTTCTCACCCCTCCTCTCCTCCCCCCCTTTCCTCCCTTTCTTGCCCCTCTTCTCCCTTCCTTTCCCTTCTTCTCCTCACCTGTCTCTACCCTCCCTTCTGCTTTTCCTCCCTGCCCTTCCTCTCCCCTGTCCTCCTCACCCCTCCAATCCCTTCCTTTCTTTCCCCTCCTTTCCTCTCCCCTCTCCTCTCGCTAGATCTCTCTCCTCTCCTCTCCTTCCCATCTCTCCTCTCCAATCCTCTCTTCTCTCCTCCCCTCCTCTACTCCTCATTCGTCCCATCCTCTCTCCTCCCTCTCTCCTCCTCTCTCCCCTTCCCAACTCTCCTCACCTCTCCCCTCCCCTTCTTATCCGCCTTTCTCTTCCTCTCCCCTCCCCTCCCCTCACCCCCCCCCTTTTTCCTCTTTTGGCAAAGTAATAGTTGGTACTCGAATGAGCGAGAAAGCCGCTTTTCTTAATTTCCAGCTTTCCAGCTTCAGCCACCTTTGGGATACAAAGGTGCAGAGGGCAATGGGTCTGCCGGGCCTCTCCGCACCAGCTGACAGTGCCTGAGGAGCACATCCTAGGAGGAGGGAGTGGGCGCCGGGATCCCAGGATTCATGTGGGGCCAGTGGGTCCCTCAAGCAGCTCTCCCTTGGCCGGGCTCTGCAGCGCCCCTGCTGCCCAGAGCTTGCCCCAGCGGGTCCAAGGCCTCAGGCGACCCAGAGGGAGCTAGGCCTGGCAGGCTCAGGCCCTTGCAGGCCTGCTGGAATGGCCTGTAGGGAACCTGAACAGAAGTCAGCGTGGGAGCTGATCCCCTAGGAAAGGGCATTCCTTAAAAAACAAAAAACAAAACAACAACAACAACAAAGAAACCGACAGCTGGAAGGGGAACCTGCCTGGAGTGGAGGGAAGGGGCATCCCTAGGCTCATCGCTGTCACCTGGCTTCTGCCCTTCTCTGAGGTTTCATCAGAACATTGTCCATTTTTCTTTTTGCCAAATTGATTTTTATGAACTTGTTTAGTTTCTTGATTCTTTAAAAATTCTTCCTATTGCGTTAAATCTCAACGAAATAGGGCACCCATACTTCTGAGAAAGTAGGGCAGAATAGAGATTATGGTGTTCTCCTTTTTGAAGTTTGAGATCAATTATGCAAAGCCCTGGAGTTGATTCTGTTGTACACTCACTGTCTGACTGGTGCACTTACCCCTTTCCTCTCTACTTACGGTACACAGTGCGTGGCTTCTTATTTTGTAATGGTCGGGAAGATTGGTCACCTTAAGGAGATGCACGTTAATAAACGCTGCTTTTGGAGGAGGAGGGAAGCTTCCTGCGTACTTGAGTTGATATCAGTTGATATAACCTGGTGACATCAGACACTGGCTTGTTATCTGTAGCAGAGACCAGTTCTTTTCCTTGTTTTGTACTGAGTGGAATAAAGCCACCATGTTTCGGTATCATGGTTTAAAGGAGAGCCGGACAGCTCTAGCAAGTACTTAGAGGAGGACAGGCAGTCAGAGCAAACCCCAGAGTCATAATAAGTGTATCATTTACTTTACATTACATTACTTTCATTCAGTAAGAGCTGCAGTACCACGGCATAGTTTAGAATCCAGTCGGATCCTAAGAACAGAATCCCATCTTGTTTTTTAATTAATTTTTTAAAGTTAGCATATTAAGTAATGTGTTTCCCGACAGCATATTCAAATCTTTTTCATCATTTGCTCCCATCCTTCACCACTCTTCCTGTGACTCCTCCTCCCTGCACTGGTTTACTTCCTTCCTAGTTCCCCCTTTATTTTCTTTCTGAATGTATTTTATTACTCTGTTTCCCACTGCCTTTAAGATCTCTTCCTCTCTTCTCATGATCCCCTTTTTAGTTTCCTAACAGAATCTCACTTTTATTTAAAAAAAAAAAAAAGGAAGGAAGGAAGAAGGGACCATTCCTGCTGCTCATTTCTTTGATCCACACTCCAGATTTCTATTTGGAAATTTGTACAGCAGCAGGCTAAGACTCATCTGCTGTATCACTAGTGATGTCTTCATCCTTTGACAGACTCTTGATTCAACCATTGACTCACACAAACCTGCTTTGCAATTGTCTGCAAACTAGGACCAAATAACATCATCAGGGATTTTCAATTATTAAATATATTTGATGAAACCAGAAATCATCTGAAAGTGTATTCTCAAGTTTCAGTTCAAAGATGGTTCTCAAGATGTGTAAAGTTTTGGCACGATACAACAACCTACAAAGATGAGGACAATAGCTCTCCTCCTCTCCTGAGGGAGGGTGAGCAAGAAGCTGGGTGTGGGCAATGATGCCATAAATCTGAGGAAAATGAGTATTACTCCAAACCATATGAAGACAGAGCTGTGAAAAGCCAACTGCAAAAGAGAGAAGGCTATTAGTTTGCAGAGACATTAAGGCTATTATTATGGCCTTGAAGGATTGCTAGGATGAGATCAGGTGGATAATTCATTCAAGCCCCCTCACTCCTCCCCCATACCAAAAAAAAGGCAGATGTGTCTCAGGATCACGGTTGAGTCTGGTTGGAATGTGGTGTGTATAGAAGTATAGTTTGGAGACATTTAGATTTGCTTCTTAAATACTAGGATGTCACAAGTGGCAACCTGTGGCTGTTTAAAAACAGTAGCAGATCCCACCCACTCTGTGCAGCATACATTGAAGTGGCAGTTGACAGAATGCGAAGGGACAGATGAAGAGACAGCTGCTGCAGCTCTCAAAGCTGGGATTGGGGTAGGTTACAGAGTAGTGTCAGTGGGACGAAAATGAATGAGACTTTCAGATAAAAAATCAATGGGGTTTTTTTTTTTTTCAGCGTACTCATCAGGAACGGTTACAAAAGGAGCTAGATCAGGGGTGGTTTTGTTACTTTGACCAGAAGACTGGGATTTTTCAGACAATTCTCATGAAGATGTTCAAGAAGAAGATGGAAATTCGAGGATGGTACTTGGGAGAACCTCTGAGCTTGCTGTCTGAGAAAATTGTTCAAGAGTTGTGTGTTTGAATGAGACTGTCCAAGAACCATGAAGAGAGGAACAGGACATCTCAACTGGTGTCCTAAGGGAAAACTTGAGATGCAAAGAAAGAGGGGCAGGCTAGTGCCAATGCAGGGCTGCTAAGACATTTTCAAGAAAAAAGGAAGAATTGACACAGTGGTAGCAAAAACTCAAGACGGCAAGATTTTTACAAGTCTACTTTCAACAAGGATCAACCCTTGCATTAGTGACTATAGGCAAAGTCTTTCCAACTCTCAGTACTATTCTCCTTTACCAAGACAGAATTCTAGAAAAGAACTCTGCCAAAGCTTAGTTATAATAAAAACTGCAGTTTGTGCTTGTGTGATACTTCTTGTTGTCCTGTCCACTCCGGCTTGAATCACACTACCTTAAAGTAACGTAGGTTTTGTCATCACTGCTTGACAAATCAATCAAGGAAATCAGTCTACAAGATGAAGTGACTTTCTAAGAGTTACCAAGCAAGTTCATATCAGCTGTTGATGCTCAGCTCTGTCTAAAAGGGTAGAGCTGAGGATAAGGTGCCTCATGTCCCAGGCAGCTCATTGGATATTAGTTTCTGCAGTTGGCTTGGCTGTGGGATTAAGAGCATGTTGTATGGGTTAGTTTAGGGCCACCTCGGACCTGGCAGAGAAGTCAGATATTCTCTGAGTGACCACTGAATCTTTCTAGACTTGATAGGGAAAGTCTGCCTTTTATGACAGAAAGGGCAGATTTCCTCACAGTAATTGTTTAATTTTCAAGAATAGCATGGAATGACACTAAGCTGGAGGCCTTTAGTAATTTGAAACTTTTCATTACATTATCAGTTTTGTGCCCCAGAGACACAGTTTCATCGTGTGTAATATGGAGTTGTCATTTTGGTTGATTTATTTTAAATTATTTTATACAGTGTCAAAGTAATGCACAAATAGAGCTTTGAAAGTTAGATAGAAAGCTAAAAAGGTTTTAAGAACAGCAAGCCTGTCCCCTGGGCCCTCCCCGTCTCTCCTGGCCACTGTTTCATCACACTTTGGATTCTTTATGTGCTGCCATTTTGTTGTGCAGGACACTGAGATGTGATCAGTAATCTTGAGAATTTTCACTTACAGATGTGCCTTACTCTTTCCTTGTCCTCCAGAACACAATTTTTTTTTTCTGGCCAATATCTTACTTAAGGTCTTCATTATATATCCATGCAACCATGTTTATGGCTAACAAGCAATATAATATGACTGCATTTCTTTTAGAACTACTTGTTTTCCTTTTTTAAAAATTATTTTTATTTTATGTGTATGAGTGTTTTGCCTGTATGTATGCAATGCCTGCAGAGTCCAGAAGAGGGCATTAGATCCCTGGAACTAGAGTTATAGACTGCTGTTAGCCACCATGTGGGTGCTGAGAACTGAACCCAGGTCCTCTGCAAGAGTAGCCAGAGCTCTTAACTGTAGAGCTATCTCTCTAGCCCCTACTTGTTTTTCTTGAAATGAGTATTTGTTACAGTTGGTCTTTGGTTCTTTAGCTAAATCTTCTATAATCTCTGAGTATGTTTTCCTGAAAATACTCCTAGATTTCTCTGACCAGGTAGCTTTGTATGTGGCCTTTAAA